CGTTGGAGCAACCTACGTCGGCGCGCCACCCGACCGTCGCTACGTTGGCGCTCCTCCTGACAGCGTTGGAGCAACCTACGTCGGCGCGCCACCCGGCCACATTAACCAATAAGTGTAGCCCACATCTGTGAGCATTTACATTCAACTCGGATACACTGTCATCACGTTCGAGCTGACGCTGACGCACATCGTTGCCTTCCTGCAGCGATAAATCAAACCTGATAGCACTGTTCAGCTCACCTCCTGCTGACCTGTAATTGTATTGTTGCAAAGGTACTCATTCACTGCATCCCGCTCATCTAGCGCTCGTCGTGGCCATCATAGCATCACCTTGCCAGATTGTTCTTCACATCTCACTGGGGTCATGATGATATTCTCAATAGCGTGAGATGTCACAACGGACCAGCGCAGAGTTCGGCCGCAAGGACCACTTGGCCATCCCTTTCTCTTGCGAGAGTACGCCTGCGGACACCAGCACAGACCAACCTGGGGAATACGATTGGGAGCCCCAAAGGAGCAGGGACCACCAAGGCAGTGTAGAGTATGTGGGAAGGGACGCACGAGAATGCCCGGGAAGCTGGTAAAGCACCTGCGATGCTCATCCAGCCGTTCCCAGAGTCCAGAGCGTGTGCGCCGTGCGGCACTCGTGCGTCGCAGCGTCGCAAGTCGTACATTCATACAGCCATGTAGATACCAACACGATCTTCGATCACTCACTTGCAGTGCGAGTGCTTGTTACATTACGTATGTACGCGTTGGATCCAGGCGTTCACCGAGTGGTATTGCTTCGACGTTGCCTCATCCTCGCTACGTGCGCAGGCTTGGCTACATACGTATATTGTTTATCCACTAGTCTTGTTTAGACTGCTGTCCCTAATGCGCAAATAAAACTCACACACCACGCGTCAACACCCCTGCGCCCTGGCACATGGGGGAGAGGATCACTCCAAACCTTGTTTAGAGCCTCGCCATACGGCTTTGCACATGGCGTGTTTCAGATCCCGGAGGTTCCATGACTGCTCTTACTATCAATGCCCCCACGCCGCCTGACCACGCCTTCCCACACGTGCACTTAGCACCAAAACACGCAACAATGCATCAGTAATCAGGTTTGAGGAACATCCAATCGCATTCCATCCTGCTCCTGTGCCCTCTACGTACATGCCGCGGGCGGACAAACCTCTTCCGACTGTCACTTGTGGGGGCTGTGCCTGTGTTCCTTGTATGTATTATGCAAGTCTGGTCATGAGAGGAGGAAGGGTTGCAATGGATTGACCTTGGCGCAATCAATCTTCATTTGTCCCTCGAGAGCCTCATTCACTGCCGAAGTGCTGCACTCATACACGTTGGTGGGTAGGTGCGAGCGCACATGAGTTTGATCGATTTGAATGAGTGGCAGCTGGCTACGTGATAAGACGATCACAGCAGCATCCTCGCCTGGCTGGCTCTCACGTCTCACAGACTTACCAGCCCTTCTTCAGAAGTCCGCCTCAGCTCCAGGACTCGGCGTGTGGCTCATGCACTGTGTGACAGCATCGTTGTTGTTCAGGCGTTGAAGCAGGTTACATACATCCATGCGTCACCGCCTGGCTACACATCGCAGCCAACAGCAAGGATCGGTCCGCACGTACTTATATGTCATTCCCATCGGCACTAGCGATATTGTTTCAACAAGCTCGCCGAGGGGCTGATCTCGATCACTGGTGCCAGTAGCGATGTCGTCTACGTACGCACAGACCGTCTCGAAGAGTGTCCAAAGAAGATCGCCCACACCGAGGATAGTGTCATTCCGCAGCCACAGGGCAGGACGCGACATTGTGGAGGCAGGCGTCTTCATTACCATGATTATTACTGTCTCCATCTTTACAACAAGAGCTCGTCAAGAGCGCCCCCTTCGAGACGCGAGCGGCGCACCGACGACGTATGGACGGATACTCACCGACGGACCAGAAGGATTCGCCAGTCCGGCCCCGGCTCGCTGAGAAGAAATTGGTTTGGCGAGGACTATGATTGGGAGACTCCAGAGTCAAGTATTTTTAGTCCCCATGAGTCAAGGGTCGAGTGCTCACAAAAACGGGATCGATTGGTCGGTCTGGTATTTTTTGTATGTATTACATAATGTAAAGGTGCGTCGTTTCTCGCTCAGCAGCCAGCACACACTCTACCTGCTAATGTACGAGGACCACTCGGATTGGTGACTGATGGACGGTCCAAAACGAAAGGTCCAAAATCGTGGTGCAATTGTTGCGGGCTCGTTGCTTTTGAGTTTCGACACAAAGGTCTGCCACTGTGCTAGCTTGCTTCGGATATGCCTTCTGTAATGCTCCCATGCCTCCATGGCCCATGTGGAGCCTGCAGCGCGCTCCGTAAAGACTGAAGCATAAGATCGGCTCCCAACGTCCGGCAGTTACGAGCCGAATCCACCGCGTATATTACGACATCTTGTGCCCATGATAACAAGAGTTAGCGTACCACTTCCCGGATAATGCCTTCATATAGCGGCAAGGCAAAAGCCAGAGGCCAGGAATTATCATCTTCGTCTTTCCTATCGTTGAAAGCAGATCTTGCTGAAAAGCGGCGTCAGAGTACTCGCGGCCATGTCCATGGTCTTGCTCGTACAGATGCCGCAGGGTTCATCGAAGAGAGTTCCAACAGAGCTGGAGATGCGATGGCATCGTGGAAAAAGCCAGAGAAAGTGAGTCGCATGCGAATAAATGAAGATACCAGGGGGATGCAGAATGCGGAGATTATCGTTACCAACTGATACACTCTTGCTCTGGCAGCGTCTTCCGGCTCATCTTCGCCCATCGCCCGGCGTCCTCTCTCGTGCCGACAAAGCTGGAGAAGTGGACAAAGGAAAAGGCAAGATGACAACCTCGCGGTGGGCATCGACTCCTTCTGCCGAGCTCGAACGCGAACGAGAGCGAGTCGCAGCGCTGCAGCGTAAAGCAGAGATGTACGACAAGCTCAAAAGAGGTCTGCATGGAGGCCTCACCGAACAAGAGCGGGAAAAAGCTCTCGGCCTGGTCGACTGGGAACGCAAAATGGCGGAAAAAGAGGAGGATGGAGGGAGTGATGACGACTCGTGTGATGCGGGTGCCAGTGGCAGCGAATATGAGGGTGAGGGAAGAAGGACTCCTGAGGTTCACACAACCTCAGATGATCCGATCATCGAGTACGTGGACGATTTCGGCAGAACGCGCACTGCACGGCGCAGCAAGGTCCCACTTCATTTGCTGCCAATATCGGGGACAGAGGGGTTGTTAGATGACACCCAACGTACAGCCGCAGCTTTCGCTCTTCCTTCTGAGTCTCTCGTCTCCTACGGCCGGCAAACCGCGTTCCCCGTATACCGACCTCCATCACCGACGCTCGCCGAGCGTAAAGCGGCGATAGAAGCCAAGCAAAGTGTCGGCGCATCCAAGCATTTCGACGCCAAGCACGAGATCCGGAATCGGGGTGCTGCGTTCTATCAATTTTCGAAGGACGAAGGGGAAAGACGTCGACAGATGGAGATGCTGCGAGCGGAGCGCAAATCCACCGAACGAGAGCGACGGTTGCGAGAAGCTGAAGGAGTAGCCCAGGAGAAGGACCTAGGAGCGACAGATGATCCGTTCGCGGATGTAGAGCGCAAGCACGGCAGGTCTATCGATGGCCAAGTACGACCGCAAGGTGACTCATCCTCAACCGCACCAGTCCTTTCTTCATTGCCACCACAAGCTTCGAGCCGCCCCCTCAGCACGGCGCAAAAGCGCTTGGCGGACAGACGAGCAGAAGTGGAGGCCAAGCGACGCAAGCTCCTCGGAGATGCTGAGGTGGAGCGTCGCAAGAAGGAACAGCAGGTGCAAAGGGTCGAAAAGTTCCTCAACGACATCGTTACGCAGGCAAAGAGCACAGGCCAGACGCATTAGCGACGTCATAAATTCAGGCGGCACAGATGCGCGTTCACTGTCCACGTATATAGCATTGGAAAGCATAAATAAAGACTGCTTGTGCTATATGCGGTACATTAGCCGAGGTCCATGACGCGATCCCGCTCGCGTTTGCGCGCTTCAGCTTTGCGAAGGAGGGCACAATGCTTGTTCCTGCGTACCTGCTTAGCCTGCCGAAGCATGCGCTCAGGAAAAACCATCTGTGAGCGTTTGACGTCCGCAGCAAATGTTGCTGCAAGAATTTTTTGATCCTGATTCAATGGGCCCAGCCAGCTGCTCGTATCTTCCCAGTCAGAGGTAGCGTTTCCGGCGCGGCGAGCGGTTCGAAAGGAGCGATAAAGCACCCTTTCTGCTTGCACGCTTGCGATAAGCTCTGCGTTGTTCACTTGGTATTGCCGTCGAATCAGTCGGCGTTTTCTCCGCTTGAAGATCATCATGGTGATTGCATCCGGTTGAACAGGCTTGAAGCGTGGCAGCGGCGGATTGAACAGAGTCGGCTTCAAGAGGGCACCAGAGAGTCTAGGTCTCCGTGCTGGCTCCTAAATATCCAGTTGAAAACGTCAGCATTAAGAGCCTTCCATCGATCAAGAGTGACGTGGTCGAACAGGCGGTGCTCACATCTAATACGGCATAAACTGCTTCCCAGTCCCGTTTGTGCTTTTCAATCCGCAGCTTGTCCTCTATGCTCAGCACCTCAGCTTGGGCCGAAGCTGACCCTTCCTTGGCCCGAAGGAATAAATAAAGGAGCTGTACAGCGATATCAAAAACAATCAACACCAAACCGCATTCGTGTTATTCGGCAAAATGCTGACATACTCGTTGGCCCTCACGAATTTGTGCTGCTGTGCGCCCAGGACCTGTCTGTTGTCGATTGTGGCGAGTAGTGCGGCAAATCCACTGCCGCAGCATCGGATGGTCCGAGGAACAAGCCTTCAGCAAGGATCTGTAAAGACTGAAGACTGTCGACCGATGCCGCAAGGTTCGGAAGAAGGGCTGCGGAGATTGAGCTGGTGGCCGCGGGAAGGTGGGCATGAGCTGAGTCGTGGAAGGTTGAGATCTACAGCTCGTCGAATAGGCGCGCGCTGCGCTTCCTGCGCTGAACGTCTTCGAGACATGAAAAGGACGACGAGAGAGGAAGGGTCGCTGTGCCTTGGTGTTTGTTTGAACACTACGCCGCGTGTTCGAGGATACGAGTGCTTGAGCGCGCCTGTCAAGGCTGCGGATCTCGTTGATATCGCTTGTGGCTTGCGCTTGAAGGAAAAGCAGGCCTCCCTGCCCTGAAGACCTGTGGGTCTGATGTGTCCACTCGAATGGCGGGAACACTGGCCGCATGATCGGATCTGCGCTGTAAGGAGGACAAGAAAGCGATGCAGACGTAGGCTTCGCACGGGAGAGATTGCCGTTATCGGTCTTCTCGAGCAGCTCCTCGATAGTAAGTGCCTCGCCAGGTGGAACTGGATCAGGATGAGAGGGCGTCACACAAGCGTCGTCGACTTCCTTGCGCAAGATCCGATCAATGTCGACCTGAGAGAAGAAAGCACAGCCTTGGGGTAGATCATCGAAGTTGAGACGATACGCGAACATCGCGCGTGTCCAGAGATTGGCAATCTGCAGTGCAAGCGCAGTCCGGTACCGATCCTCCTCCTTGCACAAGTATCGGACTTCGTCATGAACACTCAACATGAAGCGTGCGTCGATGCCGTACGTGGTGCAGAGGTGTGACATGGCGGCAGTCAGCATGTGGAGGTAGTCAACACCACTGGACTGGACAACCCAATTGATACGGCTCGGCATGTAATCCTCTCCTACCTTGCCGTCCATCCACCGTCGTTTGGGAAGGAATTTGCGCGATAGAGCTGCTGTGACCCCGCAGTCTAAGGCGGGCGTACGCGGACGGTCGCTGATCGCGATGCTTTCGAGCTTGTTGAAAACGTAGCTTTCACTGCCGCCATACCAGAATTTGGACCCAAAGTAATCTGTGCTGTGCGTGTTTTGACCTTTGGTTGCTGTGTAGAGCTGCTTGGAGAGACGCATCGCCTCCTCAATGGGCATCGATGGGTTGGCCTTGAGCATGAGCTGCGTGGCATGTCGAATACCTGCGCCGTAGATGCGAGAATAGTTGAATACTTTTGCCTGGTTCCGACTCGTACCCAGGATGCTGGCAGTCTTCGAATGCAGATCGGTGCCTTGCGCTTTTGTACCCTCTAGCGTCATCCATCCGACCGCAGTCGCTCCGTGAACGCCAAACTGTGCGTCTCCCATCACGCTGCATATCCACAACTCCTCGCTGTCCACGTCCGCGCCGACAATACTCCATCCGAGCGGTGCTTTCACCATTGACTTCAGTTCGGATCCCACGCGATTTTTCTTTGCGTTGGACGCCGTGAGCCAGGTCTTCTCGATGGCGCGTCGGGTGACAGTGCCCATCTGAATGACCTGCGGAAGGATCATGCCAAGTTGCACTGATGAGGTCTCATCTTTTGCGCCCATCGCAACTCTACATTGGCCGTCCCAGACGACCATTTGGCGCTTCACGCGGTCTCGCGCAGAGATCCAATAGCTACACTGCGCATTCATGTCCAACGCAGCTTTCGACGCAAGCCTTCCCTCTTCGCTCGGATGCTCACTTCGAAGAGTGCCGTCTTCGAAGAACGTAATAAAAGACTTGGCGAACGGACTTCCCACGTTGGCTTCATCACCTGCAGAGTGAGGAACTTTGAAGAATGTAGGACGCGTCGGATCTGACACGAGCTCATTCGTCTCGCGACCACGCGAATTGATGACGTGCTCCTGGGGCCCAGTCAAGAGTTTAAGAGCAGCATCTGCCTTTTGGGTGAACTCGACGGGCTTCTGGCGCGTGGTAAAGTCGTTGTCCTGGCTGATTTCTGGGTCGACGCGATACACCCAGCCGTGCTCCCGGCTGTGGAACAGCGGACGGCCGCGCCAGCTGACGTTAAGGAGCGTCGGAGCCACTTTTGAACGAATCGTCAACTCAAGCTGCCCAGTTGCTGACTTGAACAAGTCCCAATACCACTTGGGCCACCATGACTGGTCTTCAACTGCTTCTTCAGTATTTTCTGGATCCCGCACTTGAACTGGACTCCAATCGAGATGCTGGAGATGTGCAGGAATATTGCTCCTTTCAGCCAATGCCTGCTCTGCGAGCTCATGGATTGCACCTTTGGTCGCTTCTTGATCTTTAGCTCGGAGTGCTTCGACAGCTGCATTACCAAGCGACTGCGCCAGCGAAGCGAAAGACTTGCCGAACTTGGTCTTAAGAAAGGTGGACGTCAAGGGGTTCTGAACATTTCCCAGCTCATTAAGGACCCCGTGCGCCTCGGTCATCCATCGACCTTGGTCATCCCGAATCAGCGGTTGACCCTCATATGACAAGCGGACAAGCGAGAGAGCAATTGGCGAGCGCAAACTGATGCCGCTCGGTGGTGCCTTGAAGACCATGTCACGGTACCAAGTCGGCACGATTCGGTGACCTGGATCCGCCACAAGTGGTTCCCCCAGTTCGGCGCTTTTGCCTGCGACCGCGCTAGCCTTGGTCTTCTTGGGTTTCTTAGGAGACCAGTCTAGCTGGGAGAGCCAAGGATCTCGCTCCCACCATGCTTGCGTCTCAGGCTGAATCTGACTGTGGTGCTGGTAGGGAAATGGCTCTACATCGCGGAATTCCATATACGCCGCGACTTGGTCCTCCGCTCGCTGTCGCCTCTCTGCAATCGCCTCTGCTTTTTCCCATGACAGGTCTTTGCAGCCTTGCTCCCTGACACTTTCGGCGAGGCTCACGAGGCTGTCTCTGACTGCGTCGCTGGCCTGGCGGAAGCACTGCTCGCTGTGCTCAATGTACTTGTTCCACTCCTGATCGACAGGCAAGAACGTGCTGCCAAGTTCAAATACGCCAGCCATCGTGACTGGGTGTCTGCAGTTCTCCTCGACGAAAAACGGCCACACATTTTTGAAGACCTTGTGCGTAACGTCGACATCTGTTGCACAGTATTCGAGCAGTTCGTCCAGATGTTCCAGCACCTCTTCTCGGTTTTCGCTCTCGACGAAGATATTACGCGAGTCCTTCGACAGCGTGATACCGCAATGCAGCTCAGCAACATCCGCCAGCGAATTTTTGGATGTAACATCTTGCCACAGAGAAGCGGAAGCAGCGTCATCACCATTGCCGTTGATGGTGCCATCGGCCTCGACAGGGGGTCCTTCGGAGGTACTCTCGGCGTGGGAACGCTGTTGGTTAGCATTGAGCGAATTGAGAACGTCGGCGACCGCCTCGCGCATCGCCTCTCTCTGCTCTCTAAAGTATTCTTCCACAAGTTGTGCGGCGTCCATGCCGCTGAGAGCGTCATCGTCGACCACGCCCTCGCCTCCGAGGATGCGCTTGATCTCTTCGCGAGCTGCATTCTCCACTTCCAAGCGTTCAAGTTTTTTCTCCGTCTCACGCATCTTGCGCGCATTGGCGTGTTGCATCCAAGCTGGGCGTTGCGGCGAGCTGATGCCGCGTGTCGCGACGTGCAGGCTCATCGTGTCGAGCCAGCGGATGCTGGAGCGTTCGAGGCTGTACTCGTCCAGCACGCGCGCACGATCATAGCCGACATTATGCCCGACTATCAGACGCGCGGTTGTACCTCTGCCCGCGCCAAATGGGATGAGGTGATCCATCTCGTTCGATTCGCCCAGGAGCCAAGGAGACAGCCAAGAGTACCACGCCTTCTCGCTAACTGCCGTGGCCATCACTGCAAAATGACTGCAACGAGGCATTGTCTCGACATCGAATACCATCGGTCCGTCTTCTGCGGGTGGGAAAGGTATTGGTTCGCCGACCCCCAAAGCGGTTGCAGGGTCTCTGTCGGCAGAGCGCAAGAGAGGGTAGCGCGTCCATCCCGCTCGACGCACCCATTGCGGGGGTCGCAAGTCGTGTATATTGCGGATAGACGACTCTAGCGCCAGCCAATCCTCTGCAGCAAAGCCTACCTCGGCTTCACCTTCGTCAGCCGACGTCCCCCTGGTGCGGTAGTTGGCACAGACGCCTTCTGGCTTCGGCGGCATGTCCTGCTTGGCTAGAAGATGTGCCATGCCGAGCCACGGCTGAGCAGCCTCTCTGCCAATGATCCAAAAGTGCTCTGCCAAATTTGGCCCAGTGGGCTGACACTTTTGGTCGATGCCCCTTGTATCCTTCTGGCCGGACGGCAGCGATGGCAGCCGAAGCGGCTGGCGCGGACGCTCCTCATGGCGCAGCGGGGGAAGTTGGAATGAGACTTCGGGTAAGACGGAAGCTTGAGATGGTTGAAGCCCATGCGAAGATAGATGCTCTTGCGCTATGGACAAGGCAAGGGGGTCGACACCGGGCAGATGAGAACATGAACCCGGTGGAAAGAGTTGCGAGTGCAGAGAAGGCGAAAGAAGCTGCACGCCGACAGTGTTTCGCGGAGCTGAAGTAAGGGAGAAGACATGATCTTGTAGTGAGCTCTCGTGATGCCCTAACACATCATGTGCAAGTGCGAGCACCCACCTCGGCGCTTCGAATGAGAAGTACGCAGCGACTCCGGTTCGATAGGTTTGACTGCAGCCGCAGAGTAGTCTCTGCGAGGTGACACGCGACATGGACTCGCTGCGGCTAGGCAGATAGCGGCATTGGCATCCGCTCTTGCGTCCGCCTGACTCGCTACTAGATAGCTGGGTAAGAGACTTCTCCGAGGGCGCTCGGTGCGAAGGAGGGAATATGCCGCTTGCGCTAGCTGGCGACAGATCGTCGTCCGACTGCCGCTGGCCATGGTCTGGGCATCGCTTCCGTTGGCACCCAACAGCAACGTCTCCTTGCACTGAGTACCGTCCCAGCCTCTTCAATCGCAATGGAAATGGTTTTTACACGGATACCAGCACATTTCTACGTGGGCGGTGTATACAAGTCTTTTCTTCATCCTCTCGATGGCGACTGGCACGTACGGTCGTTTTAGCGCGCGTCAGAAAAAAATGATCACGTCTCGGCGAGGATAGCACAAAGCTTCGTTTCCCACGTCGCTCTCTATCTTCCACATTACCGCAGCACCTTCAGCGCTGCGGGTTGCAGGCCATGGGCACTCGACGAGCGAAACGCTGATGACTGCGGGTGCCCCTGCGGCTCTATTCATAGCAGGAAACAGAAAAACATTTTCTGTTCGGTCGTCTTGTCGTTGTCTGCGTGGCTGGTTGGAGTTGTCGCCTCAGGCAAGGGCACCCCACAACAGGAACTATCGAAGCACGTCCAATAGTCTCTCGTTGGTGCGACGCATCTTCCCGACAATCAACGTTGTTTCCAGCGGCTTTGAGTACATGAACGTGAAACACTCAAAAGGGTTTTTTAAAGACGACGGTTACCCGGAAACGTAACGACCGTCACACATCTTCGACACCATTACTATTTTGGACCATCGGTCTAGGCGAGCGCAGGCGACTGGGTGGTTCTACTTAGCACCTTCGAGTAGCGGAGGCAGTCCCATCGGGTGCAGTGTGGACAGGTGTACACCTCCGTCAACATGTCGTCCTCGTTGCGGTATCTGCTTCCGTGGCACTGGCTCCCTTTCCGGCTCTTCTCACGGCGCAAGAGCGAGACGGACTACGAGACAATCCTTGAATCACTAGCGAAAGATGTCGTCAAGGTCCAGTCGCGTCTGACGCAGATCCGGCAACGCGAACGCCGCGCGATGATCACCATTCCATTCTACATTCTCGTCATCTGGGCTTTCCACACGTGGCTATGCTGGTACATGGCCTGGCTGGGCCCACTTTCCGAGGTGCCTGCGGCGCTGCTGTCGGGCGAAGAGCTCCATTGGAAAAAGACGGGCAGCTGGCTACCTGTCCTGTCCACACCAGTGGGGTTGCTCTTTGGACGAAGAATCGTGCGGTGGTGGTACAAGCGCATCGCAACTGCGGAGGAGAAGCACTTGCGCAGGCTTAGAAAGACACAGCGCAGCAAAATTGAAGAAATTAAGAAGGCGACGCGGTATGACCACTTGCGCATGCTTCTGTCTAAATATGACGACACTCAAGGCGCCACGAACACGCCAAGACGGCCAAGCCCAGGCGTACCATCTGGTGGCAGCACTGCAAGGGTCGAAGGCCAGCAGCAGCAGCAATTGACGCACATACAACAGCAACAGCAGGTGCAGAAGGGGCTGGGGACACAGTCGTCCATGGACAATCCACAGCGAAGAAGCATGTCCAATCCAAGTCAACTGGGTATCCACCTCAGGCATAGTGAAACCGAGAAAAGCCCAACGGAAGTCGGAGAAAATGGCGCCGCCTTTGCGTCAAAGCAACACCCGAACTTTCCGCACAAAGCATCGAACGGCAGTCCCGTCGTGCAGCAGGTGGACACAGTCCTTGCTGCAGCCAAGAATGGGAATGCATCTGGCAGTGAAGACGTGCGACCAAGGCTGTCCAGTGACTCAGTGCAGCAACAGCAGCAGCGGGCAAATCAGCAAGCGACCGCATTTTCGGCGTCGAGCGCACACGATGTTCATATACCATCGTCTATCCAACAGCAACAATCCTACCGGAAACCGCTTCCACTTGCCCAAATTCAACCGCAAGTCCAAGCGCCGTCTCGGACCTTCCTGGATAAAGTGGCAGACTTGATGCTCGGACCGGACCCAACTACGCGCGGTCCCGGGCCTGAGCAGCGGTACGCGCTCATTTGCCCAGATTGTAAGCGACACAATGGCCTGTGTATGAAGGAAGATTGGGAAGAGATCCGTAAGTCGGGGGTGCCTGCTTTCTGAATCTTGCCGTAACCGAATGCAGCCAACTTACGTACTTCGGAGTTCCCAGAGTACATTTGCCCTAATTGTGGCCGCTTTAATTCAAATAGGCCTTCGACGGTACCGACATCGTGGCCTTCTGGCGGGGGCGGGCGTGCGCGCGTCGATAGCAATGCGTCCATTCGCTCCTTCCTATTTTCCGCTTTCGGCGTCGGCGGAGCGGGGGGAGGAGCAGCAGCCGGACAATTGACTCAACCGCCACATTCGGCCGATGCGACATTGAGTCGATCTATGCAGCGCATCAGTAGCAGCCATCTAGTGACCAACACATCTGCGCTGAGAAGTGGCACTGGCGCTGCGCCTGGCGAGTCTAATTCACACGTGTCCCTACCAAGCACGCCGGCAAAGAAAGCTCCCTCGCTAGGGCTGGCAGATACTGGCAACAATGTCTATCAGTTCAAGCCGGAAGGAAAAGAGACCCTTTCAAGTAGCAACGACAGCGCAGTCCTCAGTCCCATGATGTCGGACGAGTACAACCACCGCTTGGGAGGGGATGCAATAACTAGTATGCTAATGGCCAAGGGCGGTGGAAAGAAAAGGGCGGTGGATAAAACGTCAGAAGTGGAAATTCAAGAGGTGCTGATGACGCCTGATCAGAATGTCGAGGCTGAGCTAAAGCTGAAGCTTGGCAACCTGAGGAGACGAGTGCGCGCTCCATCCGACAGCGCACGAGGGCAGGACGAGGAGGATACGCCCCCGCCCTCCGCCTCGCTGATGGACGGAGATGCGGACATTTCGATGGAAATCCATCGTCGGAGATAAGATAATTTGAGGCGTGACATTCAAGGGCGACACTCAGGAAAGGTCATGTCTCAACTACTGTATCTTACTATCAGAACACCGCCGCAATCGCATCGAATGCGAACCACACGCTTTGTCTCATGCTGCATGTACGTATGCAATGTGCCCGAATAAATTACGAACCTCTGTGGTGAGGATGACCTTCTCCAGACGGAGACAGCGAGTGTGACCCGCTGAAGCGGTGTTCTGCGGGATTGGACGAGAGAGTAGGTGGACGTCCAAGCGAGGAGAAAGCACCTGACGGTGGTGGAAGACGCAAATCTTGGCGCGGATCATCAGAGCGACCAGGGAACTCCATAGGCCGCGTATAAGAGGAAAGCAGTGGCAAGGCGCCCCCTTGAGAACGGTAGCTCGCACCTGGCGCAGGGTAGCTGCTATATGAGCTCGAAACACCGGAAGACAGAGGAGACGGTCGACTGTACGCCGCCGAGGGCTGGAACGAAGGCAGACCCGCCGTCAGATGCGGCGGGTCTGCCGACCGAGGTGGCCCGCTGTGCAGCGGAGCTGTCTCGGAGCGCACATATCCGTGGTCATCGCGGACGCCAGGGCTTTCGGTGGAAGGAAAACGCTGGTATGCCGAGGATGAACGCTCTATGTGATGTCGCGCTTGCATGGGTTCGTCTGCAAGGCGTTGCTCGTACGGAAGAGGAAGTGGCGTTCCAGTGAAACTAGACGCACTATATGGTCGGGATCCAAGCATGTTATGGCCGTATGGTGGATCGTAGGTGCGAGCGAGGCTCGGTAGGTATGGGCGCGGTGCCGGGCTTGTCGTTGACCCGTAGCTGCTCTGGACTGCTTGCGCTTCGTGCACATGCCGTTGCTGAGGCTCGTAGAAGTGACCAACAGGGGGTTCCTGGGGCGGTGCTTGATGCGCTCTTTGATCAGCCTCCTCATCTGTGTCTTCCTCGTTGGCATCAGCTTCCACTTGTTGCGATTGAGGCTCACTGCCAAACCACTCCTGAACCGCTTCACGTGCAGGTTTGGACGCAGCCCGTGGCGGCTCTTCATTGAGAAGGCTGCTGATACCGAAGCCGCGTGGTGGCCCCACAGGCTGCACCGGAGGAGGCGTCCTGGAGCGGTCCTCCTTCTGTGTTCCGGTGAATGAGCCCATCCTCGGAAGCGCATTGGATGCTGCTGCCAATGATGGCGAGCTTCCGGCCGGCGCAGACAGGCCTACCGCAGAGGCACCCTGACGAACAATCATCTTGATGGCCTCTTGCCTTCTTTGCTCCAATGGAAGAGAAGCATTTTCTGCCGCAATCTGTGCAGCCTCCTGAAAGTCTTTACTTTCTTCGCTCTCCTTCTCCATCATGCGGTGGAAGAAGTTCTTTGCTTGTGCCGCGGATTTTGTAGGAAGGGTAGAAGAGATGATGTCCCAATCTTCGCCATACATCGCGAAGGCTTTGAGAAACTCTGTACGCTCAGCGACCGACCAGTACGAAGAGGTTGAGGAGCGCGACTTCTTCTTGCCCTCTTGTACGCCCTCCAGGAATGTGCTCTTTGCTTTCTTCAACCTCTTCCCAGTGGCTTTGTCAGCAACAGGCTCTGGTGGAGTAACACCGGCCAACGCTTCCAGCACTGCAGCGGCTGCAAGGTCGCTCAGAGCTCGAGATGGGGCTGCTTCAGAAGGTATCTCTTCCACTGATGCTATCACTTTGACTTCCTCGGCGGCAGTTGGGGGGCCTGCCTTGGGTTCCCGAGGTTCCTTTTGTCTTCTTGCCTTCTTGCTTTTCTTCTTGTTGATATTGTCTCCTGACTGATCCTCTGTGGCCCGGCGCTTCCGACTGGAATTGGAGCTCGCACGCTGTTCATCATGCTCTTCTTGAGGTGTGAAGCGATTGCTGGTCATTGTCGGCTTGCGACGACTGCCCGTCATGCTTGTGATGCCACCGGGCTCGGCTGGAGAATCCACATCATCGGCACATTCCAGGTCGTCTGGCTTAGTCGATGCAAGATCTGCCATCAGCGCGCTGCCCTTTGCCTTTTTTGACTTCGGGCGGACCTTGCGTTTGCGCTCGCGATTTCGAGCCGCCGCAAGAGCTTTGTAATCGTAATTTGGCAGTTTCTTGGTTGCATAATAGAAGGAGACGCATTGCTGAGTAGTCTTGTGCTCCAAGAATGAGGCGATCTTGCCGAACTGCTTCGGGTAGAGGGCGTACTTGCGCAAAAAAACTGTTCTCTCTTCATCCGACCAAAAGTCTGGGTCGAACTTGTTGAAATAGAACGCAACCGGGTCAGCGACAAACCCGTTGTTGTCTTCGTAATTGTTGAAAATAGGCTTGGTGGAGTCGGGATCTAGAAGCATGTTTGGAGTCGTAGCGGTGGTCCGCGCAGCACGCATCGTTGGATCTTGCATGTCCGCACTCTCAAGCGAGGCTAAGATCTCTAAGAATTCGGCTTCAGACCGGACAGCGTCTCCAAATCCCGCAAACCCCGTGTTCATGTTGCGCCGATTGGTGCGGGAAGTGGCCAGGGTCATCATCGAGACAATGAAGTCTTGCTCAGCAGCAGGTGTGCCAGTACCAGTTTGAACCGCCGAACGCCGTTCCTTGCGCTCATTCCAGCGGTTAAGGTGCTCGCAATGCACACGCCACTCATCATTGAGCTTGCGATACTGCTGTCGGAGTTGTTCGATCTTGACATGCAAGCGCTTCTGCCTGTGGACCTCGATGCTCCGAACACGATTCTGAACAGCTTTAACGCACTCGTCATCGTGTCGCAACCACAAAGGACCCTCCTCAACATACGTGTCGGGAAAGACGGACTGATCTCGGAGTTGCTCGTGAGTACACTGTGCGACTGCTCGGTTCTCCTTGACGATGGAGTGTGTCGGTTTCGGCATGCCTGACTGACTGACAATCATGCGTAGAGTTGATCGACGCATTGCAGTCTCCATCGCTTCTTCTCGTCTGCGTTTCGCTTCCGCGATCGCTTCTGGATCACGGCCGTCATGCTCTTCCTCTTCTTGCAAGAGTTGCACATCTTGCATGCTAGTGTCTTCGAGCATCTCAGGTTCGGAGTTGATCTGCTTCACGCTATCTTCTTCCAAAGCAGCCGTAGCCTGTAGCTCTGTAGCAAGCTGGTGAGCGACGGCGTTCTCCATTTCTGTGACACGCGTCACGGGTTCGATGTGAGAGCTTCCTGTCGGTGAAACCAAATCGTGAGTTGAGGAGCGGCCTCGGTCGGATTTGGCGCCCACAAGTGCCACTTCAGGCGCGAACGAGGATGCAGGATCAGCTTCAGCTGTGGCTAGGTCTGCCAAAGTCTCAAGAGATAATGAGGAACCGGAAGGTTCTGATGGCATTGTTGCGGTAGGGGCAACACTTGTGCTTGGAGCGGAGACGGAGAGAGCAGTTTCGATGACCGCAATGGTTGTCGTGGGTGATGCAAGTTTGGCGGCGCTGAGCACTGGCACTTCATGCCGCTGAGCTTCATCGTTGAACGCCTGCCGATCGTCCTGACCAATCTCAGTGCCAGTCTCAAGCACTGGCTCAGTCTTCACCTCGGGCTTGCGCTCATTGGGCAAGCCTGCCAGAGCCTCCTCCGAGATTGCCCTTACCGACGTCCTTGGGCTCGCGACAGGTGCAGCCATTGCAGTCGCGTCTGTTGCAGGCGCAGATTGCAGCGCTTTGTGTACCAAAGCATCACACCGCTGCACAAACCCTGGATCCATCGGCGTCCCCATAGGTGTCTTGCGAGGGGTGGGAAATGCGTCCGTGCGCTTTGCCTCGCTTTCTGCACTGTTTGACTTTTGCAATATTGTCGCTTGCAAGTGCAAAGGAGGCTTGGATTGAGGTGTACGCTTCTCCTCTCGATCGCGAGCTCCTTCACACTCGTTCCCCAGGCCCCGCTGTGAGTCGATGAGCTTCGGGCGGTCATATGAGCCTGACCCGCGATCGCTTCCACCGGTGACAGAGCGCGTAGGAGATAAACGACGACGCGGCTCTTCTGAGTGCTGTCTTGCTGCGCCTCGCCGACGCTCCCCAGTGTCGCTTCCGTTTAATTCATGAAAGTCGGGTGAAGGTCTACGCCTACTGTATGCGTTACGAATGGCTTCTTGCCCAGAGAGTAGCGCGGTAGAAGACGCTGACTGGGCCAACGGAGTCGAAAGCGCATCGATGTCTCGCTCTATCGTAGGCTCTCGCGGACGCTCACGATTGGTGTGGTGTCGATTCCATCGGTCACGCTCTGGCGGGATGGGGTAAACCAAAAAAGGTGCATTCGGACGTGCTGACTCGCGGCTCGGAGGCTGATGTCTGCAGAATGGGACCATCTGTCAGCAAAGACCTGCACAAAGAAAGCAGTGTGCAAGGACGTACCGTTCGGTCCTCGCTAAATCTTCCCTTTCTCTGTCCCAACCGGACGCCCGGCGATCCGACATCGGGTCTCTGGCATCCCTTTCCCGTCCACGATCACTGAACCTTCTTGCATCGGCATAAGCTGCAGAAACGACACCCTCTCGCTCACGATGGTGGCTAGATCTGCGATCCCGGTCACGATCCCATCCTCTATCCCTCTCTCTTTCGCGGTCGCGATCACGCTCAGGCTCCCGATATCTCGAAGCTTCGCGCTCGCGATCTCTTGAATCGCGCCTGTACGATGCATCCCACTTTTGAGGGCCGCTCTCAACGCTCGGGTCCCGATCTCTGAATGCGGCAGTCGAAAGAGGCGCAGCGCCACCTGTCCAGACGGAAGCAACAGAAGGTACACTAGGGCTATTCGAGTCAAGCGATGTAGAAGGGTGAGACAAGGAACGTGACGTGTCGGTGCGCCTTCTTCTTTCCCTGCCCCAATCCCGGTCGCGCTCAAGATCCCCAGAGCTTAGCAAAGGAGGTGGTCGGCGTGCGAGCGAATGATGAGAAGAGTATGCCGGGCGCAGATGCGACCGACTGAAGCTGTGGCTGGCTTCGTGCAACGGGGAGGGTGCACGCTGGCCCGAGCTGAGCTTCGGATCACGCCGTGAGCCAGACGACGCTGATCTCGGCTCTTGCCCCTCCTCCTCTTCCTCTTCATTGATCTGGCCCTCCTCAGCAAGAGTGATCATCCCTTCCTCTTCGCTTGAGTCTTGATCTCCTTCTCTGCGATGCATGCTTGGTGGTCGGCCCGCCAAAAGGCCCGAAGACTGTTGCACCTTGCTCATGGATGCCCCATTCTGAAGGGATGCACCTGACGAAGAAGCAGAGGTGGGAAAGACTTGCCCTGGCTTCACCCGCGTTTCATCTTCATCAATCGCTTCACCCTCTTCCTGTCCATCCTGCGAGACTTCGCGCGTTTGAAATGATCTGATAGGCCCGACCGTCGTCATTGCCACTACCTTTGATACTTTTGATGCTGGATGAGAATTTCCAGTCTGTGATTGTTGGACGATAAATCAGGAATAATGTCAGCCACCGAAGGCAGTGCAGGAATGGGTAGGCCTGACGCTCACCTGCATCGTTTCAGGCGCATACACTGCGTCACCTACGAGGTTCTCCGCTAGTGTCTGGTTTGAGGTGCCCCCTGAGGCTGTTGCACCTTTCTCAGCTGCCCTTTGCCGCAACCGAATGGACTGCGCATCCTCCATATGCTCAATCTCAGTTGCTTCTACCACCCCTGCTGCGGAATCTCCTTCAGCTTGTTCTGTTGCATCCACGCGCGAAGCCACGACCTGCTGCGCACAGGCTGCGTCTGGATGCATATCGTCCATGGCATCCACCTGCTCTAAGCGATTTGGCATATTTGCATCCACAAGCTTGGAAGGTAGTACTCTGTCCTGCCCTCCCTGCCCTTCTACCTCACGAGCAGCTTGGACTCTATCGGCTGATCCGGCTTTCGCCTGCGCGCCTGCACCAGCGCCAGCGTTACCGCCTTCTTCTGTGCAAGACCTGCCTTGCTCCATGGCAATCCGTGAGAGCGAGGGTAAGGGTAGGTCCTCGCATGCTCAGAGCATTGAGCGCAGCGAGATATGCTCTACACTGGGGCTTCACTCGCCGGTTAAGGCTGTCGGCAACAGCTTTTGCACAAAAACACGAAGAAGCGATGAGCGGATGAGGCGCGAAAGTGTCTCGAACATTTCGCAGGCAGTGCTGTTGGCCACAGCAAAATCTGAGCAATCTACAACGGATCTTGGAACTACGGTCGATGAGCGACGAGGGGCATAACGGTTATTAATGAGTGGTGATTGATAACCCGAATTCGGGCAAAAACTTGCAGAAGGTTGGGATTCCCGCAATTGTGGTCAGGGTGAACCACAAACCGAATTGAGGGAAATGGGAATCGCCGTGGTTCTCTTGCATTCCCGGTAAATCCACTCTCCGTCACCTCGAGGCTCGACCCATTGCGATTTACGAAGGCATACTCGCAACAGTTAGGCGTTCCTAAGGGGTTCTAATGGCTAGCCACACTTGAGTTAACCCCAAAGTGACTCGACTTTCTCTCAATCAGTTCATGCTATCGGTATCGTACATGACCTAAACATAAATATCGCCCTGTCGCATGCTGAGTTTGCCGTCTTGCCCTCACGACTAGGCTGCCAAGATAGAGCCTATCCACGTCTCTTCAGTGTAAGCCGCACTGTGTTTCCCTTCGCTCATATCATGCCGTTCTTAAATTCCTACGGTCAACCAGTGGGCCCGCCCCTGCCTTCTTTCAAGCCTCCGCCCGCCCCCTCAGCTGCAACTATTCTGCATGGGCCTGTGACGGGCTGTAAATTGGAGCCTTTGGACCCCGCTCGGCACGGAGAATCGCTCAGCAAAAACCTTTGGGAGGGTACGATGAACGACCATTGGACTTATCTCCCTTACCATCGACCATCGAGTCGTGCTGAATTTGATGCATGGTTGCAAGAACGCAGAGCAACCCGACCCGACCCGTTCATCTATGCGATTGTCGATTCGCACGGCGAAGCACAAGGGATTATCGCCTACCTGAATGGAAGCCCTAAGAATGGAAGCATCGAGACAGGGCACGTCCTCTTCGGTCCCAATCTACAGCACACCAAGCTGGCAACAGAAGCACAATGTGCCTTGGCCAAGCACGCCTTCGAGGATTTGGGCTACAAGCGTCTGGAGTGGAAATGCGATTCTCTCAATGTGCACTCTAAGCGCGCGGCAGAGCGGCTCGGTTACAGCTATGAAGGCCTCTTTCGGAGTCACTGGATCTACAAGGGTAGGGGAAGGGACACAATCTGGCTCGCCATGGTAGACTACGACTGGCCTGTGATCAAGAGAGGCTTTGAAACCTGGCTGGCGCCCGAAAACTTTGACAAACACAGCAGGCAGGTGCGCAACCTGGAAGCATGCAGGAAGCAAGCGGTCACGGATATGAAAGCGAATGAGAATGCGCCATGATTGAATCACGAAGGTCAAAACATGTAGACGAGATTTTGCAGCGTCAGATAAACCTTTATACATGTGATGGGAAGTCCTTTACCTGATGCAACATCATCAATGATAAAAGCGGACCACTTAATTCTGATTTGAATAGCATCGCGGTGTAAAAGCCTGGCGCAACACGTGTCATGTGCCGAAGCTCTTGCCTTTAAACACGGATCAGATGGCAGTGCCTCTCCCACCAGGTTTAGCTAATTGCGCGGTCTCCAGTCAAAGATGTCCAAGTGTACAAACAGCCGTTGGCGCAAGCAAGCTACTGCCGTCTCGAGTTTGGACGCAAGACCGCTTTTTAGCGCAATTTATGAAATCGACAACCGGACTGTGGCCCAGGTTTGCGCCTTTTGGTGCGGTGGTGCCGGCGAGCGGAGGTGAGACTGTGGGGAGTGCAAAGAGTGCGGGACCCGGGACAGGGCGTGAGAGCGTGTGAGCCGTACCCCGTCAGCGAGAGCTTGGAGACTTGGTGGTTCCTGCGTGGTGTGACTCGAGCACACGACTCCCGGAATCACGACCATCCAGTTCCATCCATACAAGATCAACTTTTACTTCTATTTGGCACGATTCACCTCCTGAAAAAGTGTTACCATCTTTTTTTCGAACATGTCAACAACAAATGAGCACGGCCAACCGGTGGGCCCACCCCTACCTACTTTTAAGCCAGCCTCGGTTCCATCAGCCTCGAGGGTGCTGCATGGAGCTGCAACAAAATGCACATTAGAACCGTTGGATCCCACTCGCCATGCGGATTCGCTCAGCAAGAACCTTTGGCAAGGCACAAAGGACGACCAATGGACATATATGCCTTATTCACGACCATCGAACCGCGCTGAATTCGATACCTGGTTGCAGGATCGCAGTGCGAGCGGGCCAGATCCATTCTTTTACGCAGTCATCGACTCGCAGGGCGAAGCACAAGGGATCATCTCCTACCTTAACATTGTGGCAGGCAATGGCACCATTGAAGTGGGGCACGTCCTCTTCGGTTCAAGCTTGCAGCGCAGCAAGACTGCCACAGAGTTACAATACCTCCTCGCCAAGCACGCCTTTGAGGATCTGTGCTATCGGCGCCTGGAATGGAAATGCGACTCCCTCAATGCACGGTCGAAACGCGCGGCAGTGCGGCTTGGATACTGCTTCGAAGGTATCTTTCGAAAACACTGGGTGTACAAGGGCAGGAGCAGAGACACGGCCTGGTTCGCTATGGTGGACTCGGATTGGCCCGTCATTAAGAAAGGGTTCGAAACGTGGTTGGCACCAGAGAATTTCGACCAGAAAGGCGCTCAGTTGCGTGAATTAGAGGCATGCAGGGGCAACACGGTCACTGGTTCCAAAACGAACGGAACTGAATCTTAAATTGACCGTTTAGACTGCGAGGTTCTGAAATATAGAAACGGGCTTGGAAGAAACCATAGGTGTTCTCTGGTGTGAGAGTCCCTGAATCCGCAGGCCATTGAAGCCCAGTCTTGTACAGCATCAACCAAATAATACACGAGCGGGGGATCAAGGTTAACAGTGCGGTGAACGCTGCGCTTGATCAGCAGCGCCGAGAAAGAAAGAAAGCCAGGGAAAGAAAAAAGAAAGAAAGCCCAAAGCATCCCACTGGGCATCTGATCTGGAACTAAATACCTTCTAGGTGTCTTTGGTGCTTGGGGTTCTGTACCGAACGGAAGGATTGCTGTCTGGACGCCAGTGACGGTCTTGTCGCCATCGGATTCGCGAATCTGCGATCCCGACAGTAGCTCAGTAGTCAGTGGGCTTGACCGGCATTCCCAGAGGCATTAAGCCTGCCGCCTAGCCTCCAATATCCAAGCACCCTTGGGATACATATACCGTATCTTGGCCTGCTATTGTCGGCGACAGTGGGAGTTGTTCCGGACATCATGACAGCAACAACAAAGGACGCAGAAGCTGCGATCCATCTCAATTCTCTGCCTACAGAGCCACGGTCGAAGCCTGCGCCTTCGTCACCCATAGCTGGCCTTCATTTTTCTTACGCCAAATCACCGTCAGACGTCGACTCCAACTTGCTCATATTGCTACATGGGTTGGGCGACAACGAGAAGAACTTCTTCGACCTTGGAAAGCACTTGCAGCGAACTTTACCTCAGACGGCAGTACTAAGCTTGCGGGTACCATGGAGGGTACCTCTTCTGGAAGCAGAGTCATTCATGTGGTGGGAAACTTTTACTCCCTTAATGGAAAGTTGGTGCCATGTCACAGTCTTGCTGAACTTGTCCCGTGCCAGCTCTGACCGTCCTAATTGGCTTCTCCTCGCGTAATGGAAGAACTACCGAATCAAGACCCTACCCCATTCACGAAATCGTTCTCAGAGTTGATTTGTCACCTCGTATCTCCTGTCGCGGAGAGCAGCTCAGATGTTCCCGGATGTGGATGGCTTGCAAGCAGTATTCACCTTCTAGGCTTCGGGCAGGGAGGCACCGCCGCCTTGGAAGGAACGATTAACTGGACGCTCGACCGTCGAAAACAGTCGAGGGCGGGGGCTCCAAACCTGCAATCGATAGGCAGCGTGGTCACCATAAGCGGTCCGCTCATCTCTGTGAGCTCCCGCATACCGAGGATAAGCAAGAGCGTTCATTGACTTCGCATATGTTTTGCGTGTACAGTACCCAACATTCACCCCGTCGATAGCTACTCCGGTGCTCTTGTATCACCGTTTCCCAACGGCCGCGCCCAACACTAACTCCA